TTTTTTTTCTTTTTTTTTTCTTCTTTTTCATTTTGCCGTTTGTTAAAAGTTACAAAAAAGAAATTACAATGATGGAAAATCCTGGCCGGAGCAAGAAGAAGACAAACTTGTCTTAGCATCGAGCCCATTACATTGCTGTTTTCAGATGTTTCAAAAAATTTACTTAACAAATAAGTGATAAAATAAAACAGTATAAGTACCTACAAAACTTCAGCAATAAAATTTTTTTTTGCTAACAATCTTCCAGCGGATCAATTTAAAAAAAATAAAGTAATACAATAGTGAGATAACTGTGTAAGTTATTAATCACACAAAATTGCATTAAGTTTTATTAAAAATAATGCAATATAACCTATATTATGTAAATAAGGCTGGTTAATAAATAACAACAAAAACTTTAAACAAAAAAGAAAAATAATTAGTAAAAAAATCTAAATTAGATGATTTGTTAACTAAAAACTTTTTCAAAACTGTTTTTAAAAAAGATTTTTAAAGTCTAGTATATCGAAGTCCATGTTTAGTAAATGCCTATTTGAATCAGCCTTAAAACTTTCCAAAGTGCAGCTTAAGGTAGTACCCTGGTAAAAAATGCTATTTTTGGTGAAATTTTGAAAAATACGACAATAAATCTTTTGAATTCTTAAAGTTATCTATTACAACATACGTTTTTCAAAAAGTTGAAAACCTTCTTAATTTTCATCAAATTTACCCTTTTTTAAAGACAAGTTTGGTTCTGGCTTTATAGCAACGCTTTTTCTCCACTATCTCCAAAACCAAAAAAGCGATTTACTTCATATTTTTGCTAAACAATGCTCAAGACGTTTGACTTCATTTTAAATATTATTTTAAACCATAAGATGTACGTTGAAACCACAAAATTGTTCTCAAAGTAGAGCTCCTGAAGGGCGGTACTTAGCTATTTGTTAGTCCTTCCTTCAGTTTAAATTGAGTTATAATTAAAGATTTGTTAGTGTTTTTATTTGTAAATGGGTTCTTCAAGCAGGTATAAGTCCTCTAAAGTTAAAAAAAGAAAGATTTTTAGAGGAAAAATTACAAAAACTGTTGTAAATAAATCGGCTTCTGCAGAGAAGTTAGAAATTTCATTGGAATCAAAAGAAAATTCTCCTCACACTGCATTCAATTGTAACTTTATTATTAACAATGAATTATTTAAAGAGGAAAATACATATGGTTATGGTCAATGTTAAATGTTTAAACTTGTTTTAGCTTTTTTGCTATTATTTTTTTTCTCTCTATAAATCACAATTTTTCAGAAAAAAATTTGATAGAAAATAGCTAAAAGGCTGAAGTTTTAAAGGATTAAAGATATTAGGAATGTTGTCTATGAAGCAAAATTAAAAAAAAAAAAAATTAAATAATTTTTATCGTGTTTCAGTCTCAAACTTCCTCAAAATTTTTGTATTTTAAAGTTTGAATGTCAACCTGGTAAAATTAAAATGGTTTAAAAAAATCTGTTTCATAGACAACATTCTAAATACATTAAAGAATTTATATTCAAATTTTTAAACAGTTTTGACAATTTTTGAATTAGTTATATTATATGAAAGAATAGGCAGTTTTAGGGGTAAAATAACACTAATTATGCGCATAATTAATGACGTCATCACTAAAAAATTTATTTATACCAACTTATACTTTTTTTTTGTTCAATAATAAAAAAGAGCAAAAGTCTAATGATATTTTTTATTTTTTTGTTAAAAAAGTCGGCTTTACCAGAGTACCACCTTAAAACAAAGTCTTGTTTTTCATTAAAAATATGCAGAAAATTTTTCCAAACAAAAGGTCCCCGATATTGAATTTGGTACGAGCCTGATTTAAGATGGTTTATGGGAATGACAAAGTTATTCATTGAAAATTTGGTTGGATATTTATGAGAGATTTCATTAAAGTAACATTGAAATGTTACTGGACATAACCCACGTTTTGCATTAAACATAAATAACATTACTCAATAGATGACCAACATTTCAAAACTAACGCAGACCGTAGAAAATTGTATTAATCAAAATGGCTTCAAACAATATATTAAAGAAAGAAATAGTGCAAAACCGTTTAGTATGTAAACTTTTAATTTTCAGGGACTTAAATCAAATATTCAATATACTGAGACCTTAATAACTTCTCATTATATAACGTTCCTATGCAAACACTGGGTATCAAAACTCGAATATTCTATAATCAAAAATATTTTTAAAAGCTCCCACTAATTACTTTTCAGCCAGGCAATTAAACACGAACGGGGTCGACCTTTTGGTGGAAATGCATTTTTTATACGAAAAAATAAATTATAAAAAATATCATACCTCTTTACGAAGATGATAATATATTTGCAATAAAGTTACAAAAAAAATAAAATTAATAATAATGTAATTGGCATATATCTAACCTCATCACAAAAAAATCAGTCGTCATTGGAGAAATACACAAGTCAATTAGACAATAAAAAACGGAATTATGAATAGTCATGCGGATACTGGTGAGATAATTAAACTTGGAGATTTTCAATCGTTTCTTTACGGAATATACGATCTACTAGAAAGATCTAGCCCCAAGAGAAACAATTTGTCTAAGATTTTATCGGAATTTATTGACTCGAATGAATTAGAATTAGTCAACGTAACTAAAGGTTCTGGTCGTCCAATCACATATCGACATCTCACATTGCTAAACTCTTCTTACATTGATCATATGGCTATATAAAAGTATACATCTCTTCTCTTTTATAAATGCATTTTTATTTCTCCTTTCTTTCAAAATGTTAGCGATCATTTACCAATATCAATTTCATTTGGACTTGAAGGTCAACATCATCAAGGAAATGTAAAAAAATTTAACAGAGGACTATAGCATTCCAAGTCTGGAATGCTATAGTCATATAGTCTGGATAATTACGACTTTATAAGTTTATATAATGTTCAGTTAAATTCGAGTTTCATTAACTTTAACCCTAGTGGTAATTTTGAGAATGAACTTACTCAAATTTATACAACTATAACTAACAGTGCAACATCAGCTCTTAGAGAACACCTTAAGTTAAAGAAACGATCTATACATTCAAAATCTTGGTGGACTCCTGAATTAACTCAAAGTAAAAAATTTCTTTCCTTTCATTTTCAAAGTGAAGTAGGATTTGTAAAAGACACTACTTCTTCTACCTTTAATCGCTACTTATTTGCTCGGAAGAATTTCTGCAAAGTCGTCAAAGCAGCCCAAAACAATAGGCTATATCAACAATACATAAAAATTGAAAAACTTAAAAAATCTAACCCAAAAAACTTCTGGAATACGAAAAAGGATTCAAATTCAAAACTTTTTACTATAAATAATAAAAAAGATAAAGAATCCATAATCGCAAAGTTTGCTACTATTTTTGAAAAACGGTTAAACACTGAGAGAATAATTGATGGAGTTACTAATCTTCGAATTCCACCTTGCAAAAATCCTGATGTGATTTTAATTACTGATGAAAGTATTAAAACAGCTATTTCATGTCTAAAATCAAATAAGTGCAAGGATCATTACAATATTTCTGCAGAACATTTAAAACATGCCCAATGTGAAGCACTAACACAATGGTTAAGAAAGTTATTTCACTTTTCAATTAATCACGGATGGACCCCTAAACCAATGTCAACATCAGCTATCATACCTCTAGTTAAATTCTATAAAAAATCACTTACCGATCCAAACAATTACCGCGGTATCAGCATTATTCCAATATTTACTAAACTCTTAGAATACCTTATCTTACTCATATGCCCGGAGATAAAAGAAACTCATCAACTTCAATTTGGTTTTAATAATAAAAGCATTATAATTGCTACAGTTCGCCTGTTTATTTATGTTCACTAGATGCTGAAAAGACTTTTGACAGCTGCAACTGAGATGTTCTTTTTAATAAACTTTATTTTGATAAAAATCTACCTCTCTTAATAGTTAACACTATATCTTCTCTATACCGTAGCGGCAGTGCGACTGTCTCATACCTTGGTTGCAAATCAGTCTCATTTGATTTTAAGCAAGGAGTGAGACAAGGATCGATTCTGTCACCCTACCTATATAACATATACTCTGAGAAGCTACTCGAAACTATAAAAAATGATGAAATTGTTGGTACTACTATATATGGAAACTTGACTTTTTTTTTTTTTTTTTTTTGTCATTTATAAACATTTTACCACGATCTTGTTTTACAATTTTTATCAATACCCCACAAGTTATTAGGTTGATTTTTAAATCTTTTGATTCTCTAAGCATAAATTGTTTTCTGTTAATTATTTAAATATGATTTATCAAAAGTGATCTTTTGTTTTTAATACCATAATTTTCTAGTTTTTTTTTAAATATCTTTTGTTATGTTGATTTTAGGTGCCCCAAGAAGTCCTCACGGTCTTATCACAGAGCACCGCGGAATATCTCATGATTTACTGTGTCTAAAGCTCCAATTGTATAGCAATCACTATTAAATTCATTTGATATATGTTTAACCAATTCAATTATTGCATAGTCAGTAGAATGGTTTTTTTTTAAACCTTATTGATCACAATATAAAATCTTATTTTCGGTTAAATATTTATAAAGTCTGCTATGCATAATGTGTTCAATTAGTTTAGAAAAGCATGGCGAGACTGAAATAGGTCTGTAGTTTGAAATATTATTCTCATCACCAGATTTGTAAATAGGTATTATTTTCACAATTTTAAATTTGTCTGGAATATGACCTGATTTAAATGAGAGATTAATAATGAGGGTTTGATAATATTATAAACAGATTTAATTACATTAACATTAATTTGATCAATACCTGGACTTTTATTTTTTTAAAGATTTTTAAAAGCATTATGTAGTTCACTGTTTTTTCAAAATTTGTCCATAATTGTATCAGTTGTTGTAAAATATGAATCTTTTTTAAATAGAATGCAGTCAATAATAAAATGAAATCAAAAATAGAATGTAGTCAAAAATAGAATGTTGTCAAAAATAGAATGTAGTCAAAAATAGAATGTAGTCAAAAAGGATTTGATTTTACTTTCAAAGGAAATGCCTTATCATACATTTTACAAAATAAGTTCAGAAATAAATCTTAATCATTAACTACATAATGAGATTGTAAAACAAGATTCCAATTGACGGAATCATTTAATAATTTTTCGAACTGGCTTATGGAACTTTCATTGATTTTTTTCATGAATACTGTTGATTTGGGGGTAGTATTATTATTTGGCGATCCTTGGACAATATCCGCTAAGGGCAAAATGTCCTTTTTGCCGTCCCCTCTCGGCGCCCCTGGGAATTGGTTCTACCGTTCCGTTGAGTAACTTAACTTATACAGAATTGTTCTAAATACTAATATTATCGTAGTTAAAATGTTTAAGCAATTTACATCCCATGTACAACGTACCAATTCACAGTGGGCCAAAGGTGAGCAAACCCCCTAAAACTAAATTCTATATAAGAGTAATTTTTTTTGTAAATGTAATCTAGAGAAAAAACTGATATGATTTTTTCCCTAATATGATTTTTGAGCTCATTATATTAATTTTACCACGAAAATATTTTACCTTTCAACTATTAGTGAAAATGAAAAAATCATATAAAAAGAGGCAAGAAAAGTCATATAAAAAAGAGGCAAGAAAAAAGTTTTACAAAGATTTAATTTATTAACGGTATATATTAGTCCATTGAGATCTTGTAACAGTTTAAAGTCGTCAGCATAGATTATAGGTAGTTAACACTCTATAATAAGTTGGACGTGCATCCTTCTTTAAACATAAATTCATGTTGATTATGTGAGATGCAGCTCGTTTTTTCAAGACATTTGGTTATCTTTTCCTTAATAATCCTTTCCATTACTTTACATGGAACTGTCGTGATAGAGATTGATCTGTAATTAGCTGCATCAAGGCATTCTTTTTTAAACAACGGTGTAACTTGTGTTTGTTTCCAAGCTGTAGGTGTCGAGCCTTCAGACAGTACTTTATTGTAAAGTAAAGAGAGGGTAAATCATTTAGCAGCGCATTATTAAAATACCTTTGAACTAATGTTATCAGCACCAATAGGTTTATTCGAGTTCAAACCTTTCAAATAAGCTAGCGTCGCTTCAAAACTAATTACTATATTGTCCAAGTCTTCATGATAAGCCTCTTAAAAAAAGGTAACTATTTTACTAGTATCAACAAAAACTGATTTGAAGCGTTCTTTAAGTCTGTTTATAGTCTTAAGTCTGCGATATGTATTCCCTCTGTTAACGTTTCACCTTTTGCATCAGATATACCACCAATAGATACATGAAGATTCTGCTGCGCCTTAACATAAGCGTACACCTTTTTAGAATTATTTTTATCTGATTCTAGTTGTGCTTCAAATACTTCAAACACGACTTTTGCATTCTTTAGACAATTTGTTTCTTAGTTTCCTATATTCAAGAACCAGTGTCACTGATCTCCAGTTTATCGCAGATAAGTAATTGCCAAGTTTTTTTTCTTTATTATAACTTTCTTATTCATCCACGGTGCATTACGAGTAGTATGGATCTTTTTTAATGGGATGAATTGCTTGCTGAGTTTATTATATTTGTTGCAGAAAAGTTCATAGCACTTATTAGTTTTTACTGGCGTCAATTATTTTATTATCAAATAATTGACGCCAGTTAGTTTTCATTATCTTTTTACTAAAATTTATTTAGTCACCTTTTTAAAAGTTATATTTTTTGTTTGAGAAAGTAGTCTCATTTTAAGAACGGACGACATAATCCCAATTCAATATGCGATGACCTTACGACGAATCACCAAACGAATCAAAGAGTCAGATAAGTTGACAGAAGAGTCTGTAATAAATAAATCCGAAATGTTTTTTGCTTTATACAATTAAATGCTTTAAATGTTGAAGAATCAAATAATTGTTATAGATTATAATTAGCCAAAGTATGAAGAAAAACACATGCCGCACTATTTTGACTGCACAGTAATTCAATCCTGTCGTCATTGTACCATTTGATATCCCTGAAAATTGAAACTTACCAAATCAAATACCTCATTTGCGACTGGATCTCTCTTGATGAAGATAGCAGCACCTCTACCGTGACCGATTCAATATTTTTACTAAGGAATTATTCTTTAATTAAGTGGTAGATATTTCAGTAAACCATGTCTCAGAAACAAAGATGAAATTATGCTTATTTATGTCACGGAGTGCATAAAATTCATTCATTTTATCCGGATTAAGAGAAGTTGCGCGAGATATCAATGCATTGCAATTTATCGCTAAGGATGACAAATCTAAAAAGCTTGTCAAGTTTTACAAGCTTGTCAAGGTCAGAATTAGCTGTTTTTCTTTCTGAGTTTATTTTATAAAATATACTTTGTTCTGCTGCTGAGCAGTTAGGGCGTTTAAATATATATTTAAAAGTGACCGATGTCAATTGTTTAGCCGATGCTACAACGTCGTTTCTGATAGATACTAAATCAACTTCAATCACAAAAGGAGCAGGTTTATCAAAATTAAAGTTCTTACCTTTTTTAAATGTTCAACTCTAACTATATTGACTGTTTTACTTAAGGATGTCACAACCTTCTTGAATTCCGTAGTGTCATCTTTATTTATCTCGCTTTGTTGATTTTTTACAGATTCAGGTAGACCAAACACAAAAATTCTCTTCTCTCTATTAGTTACGTCCTTATTATGCTTATTGAACGCGCTCACAACAGCTACGTTTGCTAATGTATAAAAATCTAATATAGATTAAATTTACAAAGGTTTTTCACTTCTTTTTCTATCTTTAATGGACTTCATTTCAATATCCTGCAGATCATATATTTAGACATACAACATGTCCCATCTAATTTAAAACCGTATAGATGTCCAGAGGACTACTTGCGGTACAGTTCTGTCCCCCGTCTTTGTTTTAAAATGTTTATCATCTTACTGACGTCATTTTATTACAGTTTTAAACGGACATCCATAAGTTGTCCGTCCAACGTCGTTATAAAATATACCGTTGTCACAGGAAGTTTTGCTGCCCAGCAACATAATTTTCTAGGAAAAATTGCCGCTAGCAGGAAATTTTACTGCTAAACTTATTTTTTCGGTTTTTTCATAATTTGCCAACTAATAATGTTTTGACGAGTGGTGATTAAGGCGCATAAGAGGCAGAAGCTGAAATTTTAGTCAGTTTTTTTTATGGATTTACCTTTCGTTTTTCAATTAAAAAGCACTTTTTTTAGTTCCAATTCAAAATTGACAAAGAAAAAAACGATAACCCATCTTAATGAAATTTTTTTAAAAATCATTCAACTTTTTAAAGGAATCGTAATTATTGTATAAAAGTAATCAATATCCTTTCTAACCCTTGTTTTAAACAAAGATGTTTAACTCATAATTTTACTTTTAATGCCGTTAGCTATTTATATAAAATCTTAATGCCGTTAGCTATTTATATTAGTTTAAACAGTGTCTAAAATACTTATAATAATTCTTATTTCAAGCTCTTAATCCAATAAAAAATAAAAAATAAAAACGAAAAACAATTTGAAGTCTCATTTAATACCACGAGACGATAGTTAAAAAGAAATTTTAAAAATACAGAAAATTTATAAGGTAGCATAATTTGTACTTACACAGACTAGTTTTTATCTTTATAAAAAAGTTGCAATAAATTAACTTTTTATTAACAATTTAAATTAATACTTTACTAATAAATTTACATTATTTAATGCGCTACTTTATATATATTACTAGTGACATCAACTGACTAAATAGAGATTGGTGTATTAGGGTGTTTAGACAAATAGAGATTGGTGTATTAGGGTGTTCAGACAAATAGAGATTGGTGTATTAGGGTGTTCAGACAAATAGAGATTGGTGTATTAAGGTGTTCAGACATTAACTGAGAAATTTGATTAAATAAGTTACCCAAGTAACCTGTATAAATTTTCACTTTTATACTATAACATAAATAGAGTTACAAATTTTTGAAGTTTAAGGGTGTCTAGTAAAGGGTTGTCATGGTAAGTGTCTGTCAATAGATGGCATGATTTCTAACACTAATCTGAAGAAAATTATCAGAAAATTGCTCTTTCTTATTTAATAAATTTTAACTCGTATTTCAAACACCTTTAATACCTGTTGCAAGCCAAAGCCACCGTAATTTAGGGTACATAATTGACCATCATTCCTACTTGTGTTGGCATTTCCTGAGAAATTTTCAGTTTTTATAAAATATTGTAAGTCTTGCAACCATAGGCTTTTAAACTATTAGAAGTTTTAAAGGAATTTTATCACATCCATGAAAGATATGGTAAAAAAGTATATTTTCTTTGAATATAATAAATTATTTCTTTTTAAGAGGTAATTTGTAAAAATTTAAAATAGTTTTGAATTTCATTTTTGATAAGGAGTTTTTCAAAAATGGAGGAATTCATTGATTGAGTCAAAATCTGGTCAGACATATATATTAATAAGACATTATAAATGGAATCTTCAACACAACGTTTTTCGAAATTTAAAAATGTTCAAGCTGTTTTCTCAAAAAACTAAGGTTAAAATACTTTTTTAGCTAAAATTAGTATTTCAAGCATTGTAACTTATAATACTCAACTGCATATGTTTTTTAGTTGATGAAAGAGATGAGCTCAAGGTTTTTTATGTTTTGTATTTGTAAAAAGTTTTACAACATATGGTTACTCAATGTACTTGAATTGATATTTTCTCGGAACTTTTCAACCCATTTTCAACCCATTTTTAAAGATTTTTTTATGTATTTAAAAATTCATTAAAGTTATTGATTTTTTAAGTTTAATTTATACATAGCATCTTGATTATCTTGTGAACAATAAAATCAGTTTACTTCAAAAAATGTTTATGATAGCGTGCATATTTTGCAATTCTACTTTTGCAGCAAAGAGTCTTCTTTTATTAGACACACGTAATATGTTAACACCTTGAGAATTTGCTGCAATCAACGATAAAATAATAAGTGCAAGACATCAAGCAAGTACAATGCAGCTGAATATTTACAGTTAAAGGTTTGTTATGCCTAATATTTAAATAACTTATTTTCTTAAGTAATGGGACGGATTTAAACTGTCAAGTCTAAAGTATTTTTTCAAGATAATGTTTCATGAGTCTCTGATCATATATCTTAAATCCTCTGGGTGTTTACCAAAGACTAAGTAAACAACATTTGCTATAGCAAATAAGCCACAATTCAAACTTCTAATCAGCTGTTGAACATTTTTAATGTTTATTAAAATATTAGGTGGAAATTTACGATCAAAATCAGCAAAGTTCTTATAACATCTGGCCAACTGGTTAATCAAACTTGAATCTAAATTTGTTATACAAACTATTGTATTGTGAAATTGACTCGTTTTGTTAAACAAGAGGTAACTCAGTGGGAATTAAAAAAGTAGCTCTGAAAAGAAATTTTTTCTTTTCTTACTACCTTGAATCCATCAATTTGTGACAATAAAGTATCATGCAAACCAAATATATTAGTAAATAAAATGCTTCTTTATGACCATATGGGCAAAATTTATATTTTCATCAGTTAATTCATTATTGTCTAGTATTACTTTTTTCATTGATTATGTAAAAATATTAAATTGCTTGGTATACGGTTTAGACTGGAGTAAAGTCTAAACCGACTACCGAACAATTTACTTCAAACTCTTTCTTCTAACAATTTAAATCTAACTCTTCTATCAAAGACATTAACATTCAGCGTCATAGATTGAAGAGTTTGATACAGAGGAAGTAAAACTTCAAAATAAAACATATTGCGATTAAAGGTAACTAAAATTTTTGTATTATTATATGCAGCAAATACTTTTTTTAAATAACTCTGGGAATAATACCTTCTTAATTAATTTACATTTTCTATGTTAATAACTTTATGTTGTTGACATTACTATTCTAAAAATTAGCTGTTTAGTGATAAAAATTAGCTGTGGTAAGTGTGAACATACGCAGATTATTTTAATACAAAGAAGAAGAAACCTTAATGCCTTCAATTTTTTTTTAATTTTATTCTTTATTTTAATTTTCTACGATAGTTTTTTAGTGGGCTATATATTGCTATATTCACCATATATATTCATCATCATGTAACAAATGATTTAAATTTTATAAGATAGAACTTGGGTGAAAATTTGTTTATGAACAAGAAATAACCTTGGTAAACTAAATTTGAAAGTTAAAAAAAAAAAAAAGTTTAGGTAGGAGCAACTTTACATAGTTATAAACTTACTTAACAATAGCTCAGATAGTTATAAAGTGTTTTTACTATTTAAAAATACCATAAATATATTATGGTATATCAGATATTATTGCCCCCATCAAAAAAATTAAATTAATTTATTATTTATGAAGGTGTTATTTAAAAATAGTTTTATTGTCAAGTTTTGACCAAAAAGGGGCTACTTTGCACCAGTTAAGAAATTAGTGAAAAGTAACCTCAGACTATTATTTTTTTACATTTAATGGTTTAAAACGTTGCTAACAGATGAAAATTATTTTTAAGGATGGTAAAGCATTACAAAAGAAAGTTAGGAGCTCGTTGCTACAAAAATTATTCAAATAAAACACTGCAAATATGCTTGGATTAAATATAAAAAAAGGAACACTTAGTAAACGTGTAACTTCAAATTATTTTAACATACCAAGAAAAAAAAAATTAATGAGCTAAAGCAAAAACGTTTACTTTAGCTTATTAATTATTTTAAAAACGTTTTCAAATAATGTTCCTGGCAAAGATTGGGTAAAAAGTAACACGATACCCCAAACTGAAGGAGTGTTTTCCACAAAATATCAAATGCTGTAGCGCTGCAGTAAATGAGGAATTTATGCGTAAATGAGCATTTATTGAAAATTTAAAGAGGTTGTGAAAAATTTACCTGCAGAAAACATATAGAACCTAGATGAAACGAACTTAACAAATTTTTCTAGGTCAAGTACTTCATTAATGATGTGTTATATTGCAGCTGGTGAATTGTTGCCACATTTTGTTTTGTATACGGTCACTTAAATGTGGAATGCATAGACAGAGGTAGGCTTAAAAAATTGTCGTTTTCAAAATTCTAAATCAGGTTGGTTTAATTCACTTTCTTTTAATAACTGGTTTGAAAGTCTTATGTGGCCAAAACTAAAAAAGTTAATAGATAAAAAGGTTTTCATTGCTGACAATCTATCTACTTACCTTAGTGTTACTGTATTTTAAAAGTGCAGATAAGAAAACATTGCATTTTTATGCTTGCCTCCCAACAGCACACATCTCATACAACCTTTAGATGTTGCTTTTTTTAGGGTAATCAAAATGGCATGGAGAAAATTTTGCTTGAGTGAAAAGAAACGCCTGAAAGTTTATGTTTTAGTGTCTTACCTAAGCAGTACTTTCCTTCGCTACTGAAACAAAGCCTTGATCTTCTACAACCGCATATTTAAAAAAATCATTAAAGTGGTTTTCAAAAGTGTGGAATTTAGATATATTCTTTGTAAAAAGAGAGATAAACAACCAGATGGTAAAAGTATTTAAAACTTCTTTTTTTTTTTTTTTTTTCGATCCCTAACTTTTACAGTTGGAGATCAAAAAAAAATTCCCACTGAATGAAATTTGGTTAAGATGGCAGCAATGACTGGCTTCAGGAGTAAAATTTGCTCAAGCATATAAAAGGAAGAGTTCCATCTTGTGGCAACATCGCTTTTTAAGCCAAGTTTCGTATTCATTTCTTGCTGTCTGTAAAGTTCAGTGTAGAAAATAGTAGAATGGGATGCGTAAGAACAAAGTTTTTGACTCTTTGCAATCAGTCCGTCTATAATTGGATGTGAAAATAATTATTTTTTGATAACAAGTTGATGGGAGTGGTTAATGCATCCAGTTGACACATAATTACAGCTTGGTTCATTAAAGGCTGCCTTTACATTTGCTGCATTGTCTTTTAAGCAAACTTTAATTTTTGAAGAAATTTCCCACTTCTCTGCTGTTGTTTCGATCTTGTTGAAAATGTTTTTTGCGGTGGGCCTTTCATCAAATTGAGAAGAAATGCAGAATTTGATACGGTTCCAATCTTTTGAAATAAAGCGAAACTTCATCCCCAGGTAGCCGTGATAAAATGATGACCATGTATCAATATCATAATGCTTAATAAAGCTTTAAGATATCCATTTTTGGTCGTATTTTAAACCTATATTTCAACCGGAAACGAAATCTTAAACAACACCGAAACCGAAAAAAATTTGTGAAAAAAGAGTTGTGACCGGAACCGTACCAAATTTTGGTCGATCACTAATAATAAGGATCTTATCATCAAAAACTTAAAAAGTAAACATATTTATTTATAATATATATAAATATATATATATATATATATATATATATATATATATATATATATATATATATATATATATATATATATATATATATATATATATATATATATGAATATATATATATATATATATATATGTATATATATATATATATATATATATATATATATATATGTATATATATATATATTCATATATATATATATATATATATATATATATATAAATATATATATATATATATATATATATATATATATATATATATATAATACATATATATATATATATATATATATATATATATATATATATATATATATATATATATATATATATATATATATTGAGTATTCAACATTATGCAAAGATACTAAAATTTTTGCTGAAGAAATACCTTTTCAATACATTTTTAGTAGAACTTTAAAATGTTGTCCATAGAGAGAATAAATTTTTTAATTTAGTTTTAAAAACAGGAAGAATAATAGAAGAATCAAAATTTGGTAATACTATTTTATTCCAAAGATGGGGTGCACGATATGCAATACAAAATTGATTGAGCAAAAAGATTCATTTAAAAACTATTATTTCTTGTGTTTATTTAGGTTTTAGAGAAGAAAGGTCGTTAAAGATAAATAAAGATAAATCGTTTTTCCATATAAAAGTAAAACATAAGACATTAAATATAAGTTTATAAAAATCTAGTACCTTCACGTAATCAAAAAAGTATTTTGAATGTGAAAAACGATCCGGATAATTAACTACGCAGATTACATGTTTCTGGCGGCGAGAAAGATGTTGTAATTTACTTTTTTCGGTACTTCCCCAGGCGATAATTGCACAATTTATATTTGTGTTTAAATGAATAATAGAATTGGGTTAAGTATTTTTTTTTTGATAATTTTGGGCTTTGTATAAAATGTCAATATTTTTGGAAACTTTGGTGCTTACATGATCAATATGTTTTCTCCAAGTAATATTATTGGATGATACAATAACTAAAATTTTTTATAGAACTCTTTTATAAAACGGATATCATCAAAATTAACGTTACTGATCAATTCTCATTATTTCTAATTACTGATTGACTAATTCATAATAGTATTTCTCTCATACCAACAGTATTCATGTGACAATTCAATGAAAACTCCATATGCCAATATCAAACTTTATTAAACAATTTAGTTAATTGAGATCTTATGTTACAATTACACGAGATATATTTTATGATTTGTTTTAAACCAATTTTGTAAAATGTACAATATGGGATTTCTTATTTTTGTGGTAATAAATATTATTTGTAATAGAAAATATTGTATATCTTATTTGTATACTAATAATAATAACAATAATAATAATAATAATAATAATAATAATAAGAAGAAGAAGAAGAAGAAGAAGAAGAAGAAGAAGAAGAAGAATAGCAATAACAATAACAAAATAATAAAATAAAATGTAATAATAATAAAACGTAGTTTAAGGCACTACTTATAAAGAATAAACTTTAAGTTA